CGTGTTTTCACTTTCTAATTTTCCCCATATATGCAGTTGTTCTGGAATGTCCTGGTCTTTAATGCCTGGCTTCTAAAAGGAGAAAAAGAGAAAAACAAAAGAAGGGAGTAAAAAGGCACTGACCTTTAAGTCCCTTGGATGTCACTTCAGCCAGAAGAGAGTCTTGCACCAGGGGGGAGGGAGGTATAACAGTGGCTGCCTGCCTCTTGGCACCTCTGTGATCAGAAATAGACATCAGCAATCAGAGCACAGATCCCTGATATCTGGAGGACAGGGCCCTTGTTGCCCACCCTGGCTCCAGCAAGCTGTGTGCAAGTTTTTCCAGGAACATGTGTGTAGCTGCCTGCCATGGTGCTAGAGATGGGAGACAGGTAGCTGTTCCTGTTCTTAGAGCTGAAAGCGACTTATATTAACTGTAATTTACTGTCCAAATCTTCTTCTGGAAGTTGCAAGTCTTCAGGAATCTCCAAAGTTCCAAAGTAGTTACATTAGACAGATTCTTCTGGTGCAATTGTTGTCTAGGTGGGGAGGCAGATTTCTGGTTCTTCTTACTCTACCATCTTCCCAGAATCTTCTGTAAACAATTCTTACAGTAAGTAATGAGGTCATTTTTTTTTTTGTAAAAATCTGCTTTAGTTCACAATATTAGTTAAGTATATGATAGAGTTACAATACTATCAGCTTCATAAGTAAAATTTTAAGCTTCTGAACTCAAGCTCTGTATCCTTTCTGTAGTTTGATTTCCTCACTTATCTGATAATTGTAATGAGTGTATTTTGCCCAGGAGTATTGTAATGAGTCTATTTTGCCCTCTCCTACTCTGTGATGGTCTTTTTGATGTGACAGTTTGGCTAGGCTACAGTCCAGTTATTCAGTGAAATACTAATCTAGATGTTTCTGTGAAGGTATTTTATAGATGTGATCAAAGTCCATAATTGGTTGGCTTTAAGTAAAGGAGAGTATTTTATATTATCTGGGCAGGACTGATTCAATCAGTTGAAAGGCCTTTAAGCTAGGACTGAGACTCCCCTAAGAGAAGAAATTCTTCCTGTGGACAGTACCTTCCAAGTCCATGTCCAAGAGTTCCAACCTGCCCATTTTGATGGCATGCTCTGTGGATTTTAGACCTGCCTGGCTAACATCCACAGTTTTATAAGCTAATTCCTTGCAATAAGTCTATTAATATATATATTCTACTAGTTTGCTTCTCTGGTTGAACCCTGACTGATACACACCTACATGTTGAGGCTTTGCTTGGAGTGACAGGATCCTTCCTATTTCCTTTTGTAACAACAGTTCTCCAAGGTCCCCCACTATTGAAGGACTTATACTTCCAGCCTCCCTCTTTCTTTTCTACTCTTCCATCACTGCAGAATGTCTCCCTCACCCCCTGAATAGTCCCTGTACACATCCTATCATCTCTAGTTTTATTATTCATGTCCTGATTCTGCCCTGAGTGACCATAAAAATCTAAAGACTCCCATATGTAAAAATATTCTTTGGAGTTTGAGCAAAGATCAGCTCCTGAAAGAGAGTTCTGGTGACAAAGGGACTATAATAATAGTCCATCAACTATTTTCTTCAAAAAAATGTGAATATCATAATAGTTACAGAAATGCTGGGGGATTTTTATAGATTGAAGGAGACTAAGGAGACATGATAAATTAATACAATATCAGATCCTAGACTAGATCCTGAACTGGAGAAATGCTCTAAAAGATATTACTGGCTAAATTGACATCATCGAAATACAGACAGTAGATTAAGTTCTATGTTACTGCTCAAGTTACCAAAGTTGATAACTATACTGGGGATAGGAAACAGAATATCCTTGTTCTTAGGTAATATTCACTGAAAAATTTAGGGGTAAGGTATAATGATATATGCAACTTATTCCTAAACATTTAGGCCAAAGATATGTATATGTATAGAGAGAGCAAGTAGAACAAAATGCCAAAACTAGGTGAATCTGGGCTGTAGGACTAGCAGCATTCTTACTATTTTTGCAACTTCTCTGTAAATTTGATTTTTTCTAAATACAAGTTTAAAAAAATGGCCCATGCCTCTGTTCCCCTGAATTTTATCTCTCCATTGAGATTCTATGGCTTCAATCACATAGCCCCCACACATATGCTATTCCAACTTCAAAACAGTTGTATTAGGTTCTGTCTCAGTGAAGAGCACCAGGATATATTTATCACAACTGAGGTTCTAACATTGATGTTTACAGAACATAGAAAAAGAACACAAGGGAAAGTGAAATAGAAACCACACATAATATACAAAAATACAAAATTAATATAGAAATACAAAAAATTATGTTTATAACATGGAGATTTCAGGTACTGAGAACCAGAGTGTAGATTTTGGAGTCAGTAACAGCTGAGTTCTAATCTTTTCTCTGTCCAATAGCAGCCATGTGATCTGGAGCAGGACATTTTGCCTCTTTGTTCTTTAGTTTCCTTATCTGGAACCTGGAGATAGAAATCCTCTGTGTATGTAGGCAAAAAAAAAAAAAAAAAAATGCTAGCATATGAAGACAATACCTGAAAATAAAAGTTTAAGGAGAGAAAACTAGACACCAAATAGTCTCCTACCCTAAGATTTTAGTGAGCTTCATTGATATTCTTTGAAGTCTAAAATGCTTTGAAGAATTTGTGGTTGTAGTGGGGTAGAGAAGGGAAATGGGGAAAGAGAAGGGCCTCATTTACTAAGGCCTTTCTCAGAGCTATGTGCTTTACATGTGGCCTCATTTAGTATTTAGGATCTTAAGACACTCTCCTGTGTTGCTGTTGGAAATGGAGATTGTTATAATGTCTTCATACATATTTTGGCAATATCTGTTCAAATAAAAAAGTGCATATGTGCACAATGAAATTTGTATAGGCATATTTACTGCAGTATTGTTCTAAAAGCAAATTCATGGACACTAAATATCCATTAAGGGGATCAGTTGAATAAACTATTATACATGCATGTCATTAAAGACTACATCCATTAAGAAGAATGAGACATTTGCATATACTGATAAATTATTTATGTGTGTTTACCATAGAAAACAAGTTATGTAAGGAAGGCTACCATTTTTTCCGGGGAGGGGGTGGTGGTGTAGGAAGGATATACACAGACCTATCTACCTCTCCAAAGGTGCTTATTTACACTTAAACTATCTCTGCAAGACCACACAAAAATGTTAATATTTTTCAGAAGGGAATTTTGGGGGCACAGGCAGTAAACTTACTTTTTACTCTATTCCCTTTTGTATTTTTTGTATTTTTTATTTTTTTAAAGATTTTATTTATTTATTTGACAGAGAGAGACAGCGAGAGCAGAAACACAAGCAGGGGGAGTGGGAGAGGGAGAAGCAGGCTTCCTGCTGAGCAGGGAGCCCGATGTGGGACTCGATCCCAGGACCCTGGGATCATGACCTGAGCTGAAGGCAGACGCTTAACGACTGAGCCACCCAGGCGCCCTCCCTTTTGTATTTTTTACACTTGTTACCCAAGTGCTCATATTACCTTTAAAAAAAATTTTTTTTAAGTATGCTTCACATCCAGCGTGGAGCCCAGTGAGGGCCTTGAACTCAAGACCCTAAGATCAAGACCTGAGCTGAGATCAAGAGTTGGATGCTTAATTGACTGAGCCACCCAGGTGCTCCCCCCAAAATCTGTTTTTAAACAAATTTCCAGCCACCTGCTTACCACCAAAACCCTCCTCCAGCCCACCGTCCTTCTCTAGGGCCTTGGTTGATGCTGGCAGCTCATCGGTGGTTTCTTCAGCAAGAAACTGCTGGACTTGTGGTGTAAGGTAGGTGTGAGAAAGGTGGGAATAATCCAGTTATTATTGGGGGGGGACACAGGTGGACATTTACTTTTTACCCTGTATCTTTTATGTTTTTAAATATCTAATCATGTGCATGTAGTGTTGTGGGATCATTGAGCATGATGGTCAAGAAAGAATTCTTGAGATTTTTTACAGTGCAACTTAGTAGGTTTATTTTAGTGGCATGGGGGATAGGGCCTGTGGGCGGAAAGATCTGCACTTTTGCTGTATGAAGCTGGTGGTTATATGGTTTTACTGTTCAAGGGGGTCAGGATGTGCAGGGAGTATTAGATCATAAATGTTTTCTTCAAATTTCTACTCATAAAACTATTTTTGAAAGATTTCTCTGGTGCTTATCATTCAGCTTGATATTAACTATTGGTGAGATATACAGGCAGTCATGAGACCCTTTAAGAATGTAGCTACCAGGGGGCAGCTGGGTGGCTCAGTCGGTTAAGCGGCTGCTTTCCGCTCAGATCATGCTCCCAGGGTCCTGGGACCAAGCCCCAGGTCAGGATAGAGCCCCACGTGGGGGACTCCCTGCTCAGCGGGGAGCCTGCTTCTCCCTCTCCCTTTGCCTCCCTCTCTGCCTACTTATGCAATCTGTCAAATAAATAAAATCTTAAAAAAAAAAAAGAATGTAGCAACCAGTACGCTTTTCATCCTTACTGGAACTATGCAGGCTATAGGTCAGCCTTCTGGACTAAAGGTGAACATTTTTCTACCTCTGTCCCTCCCCGGAGAATTTGTTTATTTAAAGACATCTCCAGACCCCTTCTCAATCCCTCCCCTCCCCACTCTGGACCCCACACACCTCTAGTTCACCAGAGTCACCAGAGTCGAGGGCCTTCAGTTCTCAGGGAGGGGACTGAAAGATGGGATCAACCCTGGGGGAAAAAAGTCTGTTGATGGGGAACTGAGGTTTGGAAGGATAGCGTTGGCTTTCTTTTTTAACTAAACTGGGATACAAATATATCTGCCAGGCAGTAGGTAAGGGGGAAATAGGCCCTAAAAACCTCAGAATCACTAACTGTGAAGGCAACTTAAATCATAATCATTCCTATTTGAAAAGAGAGCGCGCGCGCGCGCTGGATGCCGGGATTTGTAGTCCCCTCCTGGATGGCCTGCATTGCGGCTGTGCAGGGGAAAGCTGCTCTTCCAGGCGCATGCGTGCGGCGGCGGCGGCAGGACTGACTGCGCCAAAGCGGCGGTAGCAACGCGAGTAGCTGGGAGCTCGCCATGGCAGTGGCTGCGGCGGCCATGGGGCCCTCGGCGCTGGGCCAGAGCGGGCCTGGTTCAATGGCTCCCTGGTGCTCAGTGACCAGCGGCCCAACACGCTACGTCCTGGGAATGCAGGAGCTGTTCCGCGGACACAGCAAGACGCGCGAGTTCCCTGCACACAGCGCCAAGGTGCACTCGGTGGCCTGGAGCTGCGACGGGCGTCGCCTGGCCTCAGGGTCTTTCGACAAGACGGCCAGCGTATTTCTGCTGGAGAAGGACCGGTTGGTAAGCTGACAGGGACCGGCCCAGGCCAGAGAGAGGGGCTGTGGTAATGCGAGGTGTGGTATTGAGGGAGACAGTGGGGGTGGAGGATGGGTGGAGGTGAGGAAAAGAGAGGGGTGTGGGGATAAGGGGGTTGTGCTAGAGGAGTGCGGGAGTGACAAGGGTGGTAGGGATCTGGAGGGGGTGTAGTGGAGAGGAAGATGGTGGTGATAAGAGGGAGGTGGGGGTGCGAGGGAGTGTAGCAGTAAAGTGTAAAGATGAGCGGGGAGTGGAGGCGAGGAGAGGATGAAGACTGCTGGTGAGGAGGGTAGATGGGACTGGAGTGAGGTGGGGGTGTATGAGAGTGGTAGGAAGGAGTTATGTGGTGGTGAGGAGTGGCTAGGGGCTGTGGTGGTGGTGGGGTCCCTATGGTGGTGAGGAGGGTCTCTTTGAAAATAATAGGACTTCCTATGGGAGTGAGCAAGAAGATTGGGAACCTTGGTGGTAGAGTTAAGTGTGGAGAACCAGAAATAAGGAGGAAGGCCAGGGAGGGCAAAAGAGTAAGGGCATTGGTGTGGGAATCCAAACCTCAGAACAATTCAGAGTGATTGGAGAGGAAGGGAGGAGGGTATTGGGAAGAGTTTTGGGGAAGGGGTGTGGAAGGACTGGTTTATTTTAAATTGTCTGGATCTGGGGCGCCTGGGTGGCTCAGTCGTTAAGCGTCTGCCTTCGGCTCAGGTCATGATCCCAGGGTCCTGGGATCGAGCCCCGCATTGGGCTCCCTGCTCAGCAGGAAGCCTGCTTCTCCCTCTCTCTCTGCCCCTGCTTGTGTTCCCTCTCTCGATGTCTCTGTCAAATAAATAAATAAATAAAATATTAAAAAAAAATTGTCTGGATCTTTGTTGGTCACAAGTTACCTTGGTTTGAATAAGGTTAAGAAGTTATATGTGGAGGCAGGTACTTATGTGTGAAGTGACATTTGGATTCTGTTCTTGCAGGTAAAAGAAAACAATTATCGGGGACATGGGGATAGTGTGGACCAGCTTTGTTGGCATCCAAGTAATCCTGACCTCTTTGTCACAGCATCTGGAGACAAAACCATTCGCATCTGGGATGTGAGGACTACAAAATGCATTGCCACTGTGAACACTAAAGGTGACTCTTCGGAGAGAGGGCAATAGGAAGATGAGCTACTTATAGTCATTCAATAAGCATTTCCTGAATATCTTCTCCAAGTGTGGCCTTGTGTTAGGTATGGGACATCCTGGGCTGAATAAGACAATCTCCAGCTCCCCGGACCTGTACTAGGTTTAGTGCAGGGAGAGAGACATGTGTGTTAAAAAAAACCCAACATAATATGATATGGTTCATCTTATACTGGAGAGGTCTACAAGATGGATACCTAGAATGGAAATGCTTAAGTCTGCCTGTGGGGACAGGCAAGACCTCACAGAATTTGAGCAAAATAGTTAATAGGGATTTAGTGGTCATGGTACAGTGGGTGGATGAGGGGTGAGGGGAAGCTCTAGGAGGGAGCTGCATGTGCAGGTGTATGGAGAATTTGGGAAATTGCTGATAGGCTAGAATGGCTGATCTTGGGAATGAATGGTCTTGGTGGTCTGGGAGAAAGTGACCTGGAAGTTGTGCAGTACATTTGTAGAATATGTTCTTCACCAGGTATTGTCCTATAAACCTTGAGGCCATTTATTATATTTTATTGACTAACATGTCATTGATTATAAGATGTACCAATATTTTATATGGTGTTAGGAAAGAAAGTTTCTAGATAACCATGGTAAACCAAAAATTTTGAGATGCATCCTGATGCATTGTAAGATATGTTGTAGAGAATAAAGTGTGAAAATATATGCAGCATAGAATTGATAAAGTTGATGAAATTTTTAATTGATGTTTTCACTGTGGGCCACTGGACTTTGTTGACAAGACTTCTCCCTGGAGGTGGAATGCGGTAGTGCTTTCTCCAAGTAGACAACTGAGTGATGTGTGAGTGATTTAGGTGGTACGTGGATGAACATTAAAAACCAGCTGTTTATATATTTTAATGCCTACCAGAAAAAAAGAACTAGCCCATAGAATTTATTGCTAAATGGAAGCTAAACTTATTTAACTAAAATTGTTTTGAGTCAATTTTAAGAAAAGTCTTGAATAAAGAAATATAGCCGTTAACATGGATTGGACAAAAATTGTGAGAGCGGCATGTGAATGACTGGAGTTTGGGAAGTGCTGGTGTAAGACTAAGAGGTTTTGGAGTCAAATCCGGTTTAGATCTTGGCTCTGTTACTTCATCTTCCATATCTTCATATGTAAAATGGGGATAATAAAGTGTTCCTTAGAGAATTATTGTGAGGACCCACAGGGGGAAATTTGTAGATGAAAGTGCTGGACTCATAATTGGTGAGTAAGTAGTCATTCCCTTCTGTCGACTAGGACCTTAGTGAATGAGGTTTGGAGATAGCTGTGGTCTTTGTAGAATTAAAAAAAAAATAAACTTCTGCAGGATTATGGGCAAACAGTATCTTGCTGATTATATCTTTCTTATATATCTTATTATATATCCAGGGGAGAACATTAATATCTGCTGGAGTCCTGATGGGCAGACCATTGCTGTAGGCAACAAAGATGATGTGGTGACCTTTATTGATGCCAAGACACACCGTTCCAAAGCAGAGGAGCAGTTCAAGTTTGAAGTCAATGAAATCTCATGGAATAATGACAACAACATGTTCTTCCTGACAAATGGCAATGGTTGTATCAACATCCTCAGGTGAGGGGATTCTAGCTTAGGGACTGTCATATCTTTGCTCTGGGTGCTGTGGTGGATACAGAGATGAATTAGATGCAAGTCTGTCCTGAAGGAGCTTAAAGGACAAATGGTTATAAAGAATCCTAACCTCTGTTGAGCACCTTTGAACCAGACACCTTATATTTACTGAGTCCTCACAAAAATTCTGTGGGGTTGTTATTTGAGTCTTATTTGACAGATGAGGATCTGGGATTCAGAGAGTTTAAATCACTAGTCAGCTGGTGAGCACTAGAACTAGATGCACCTTGAATTATGGCAAACTTGTACCCGTAAAGTATCTGCTTAAATATCACTTTCCCTCCAGGGAAGCCATCTTCATTACTTTCCTATCTCCCTAGGTTAGAAGCTTATTTCATGTATTTCCTGTTGGAAGCATTTCTCATTCTATATTATAATTACGTTTGTTTATTTTTTAAAAGATTTTATTTATTTATTTGACAGAAAGAGAGAGAGTACAAGCAGGGGGAGCAGCGGAGGGAGAGGGAGAAGCAGACTCCCCACTGAGCAGGGACCCCAATGTGGGGCTTGATCCCAGGACCTGGGATCATGACCTGAGCCAAAGGCAGACGCTTAAAGACTGAGCCACCTAGGTGCCCCTATAATAAATGTTTACTATCTATATCTTCCATTAGACTATAAATTCCATGAAGGTAGGGACCATGTGTAACTTGTTTACTGTTGAATCCCTAGTGCCTACCTTAATACTTGCTACACAGAGTTAGGATCTCCGTAAATATTTATTCTGTAAATGAATGAAGTGTTGGAATTGAAATTCAGGTCTGTTGACTCTATTCTTTCTGCTATTCTGGGTGGGCAGTGCAAGGCAGTGTGAAATAGGTTCTTTTAGAGAGGCTCAGAGTTTGGAATCCCAGGGAAGGAAACTTACTGACTGTGGGAGTTGGGGATTGAAGGATGCAGCTTTGGAGCTTGACCTTGAAAGCTGAGTAGAATTTTAAGAATCAGCAAAAGGACAAAATGGTGTCAAATGGACAAATGGACAAAACAGGTGTCAGTGAGCATGGCCTATATGGAGAGTAGTCGGTAGGTCAGAGTTGCTGGGAATGGTGGCGGATAAGGTATCTGAGGAGAGGGGAGATAAAGTTGAAATATAATCTGGGACCAGATTATATAAAAGGCTGGAAATCTGTGCTTCGCAACTTGAATTTTATTCAAGTTGGGATTCTATAGCTTTTTTTTTTTTAAAGCCTTTTTATTAGAAAATGAAACACATATACAGAAAACCGCTTAAAACAGCATATAGCTTAATGAACTATTATCTGTGTAACCCCACCCAGGTCAAGAAATAGTAATTTGCTGGCCATCCCAGAAGTCCATCCATGTACTTTGTCCTAGTCATAAATCCCTCTCCTCAAAAGGAAACACTATCTTGATTTTTATAGTATTTCTTTATAGTTTTAGCTACCAAGTATGCATTTCTAGATACTCTAGTTTAGTCTACTTAAAAAAACTTGATGTCTTTTAAGTGTGTTAAACTACCAGGTTGCTCTTCATCCTTCTTTTACTTAAAATATAGCTGTTGGAAAACTAGACTGTTAACCTGCAGAGATTCTCCTAGTCTGGATTTTGCTGATTTTGTATGCTTATTTATTTGTTGGAATATAAGATACTTCCTCTCATTTACTGTTTGGTTACTGAAGAATATAGTTCACTTAGAAAAGGAAGGATAAATGCTTTTTTCTCTTTTTCATCAAATAATGAATTAGTTCTTCCCCTGTCGCCTCCAAAGATGATCAGCTAGGTTTTATTTTTAAGACTTATTATAAACTCATGTATTTAAGCATGGTAGATGTGTTTCAGTCTATTGGAGTAATTATCCTTATGGAAGCTCAAATTATCCCATCTTTAGCTAATGGGAGCCTCTTCAAGTTGTTCCTGAGTCATTTTTTTTTGACATAATCCTAGTAGTCTTCAGTTTGTTGCTCTCTGGTATGACAGATATCCCAAGTTCGTCTTGTATGTTTCCTGCCTCAGACCTTTAATCAGAAGCTTCTCTGAGAATCCCTGGATTCTTTTTCTGAGAAATGATATTGGCGCTACGGATGTCCATATTGCTGGTTTGGTCATTATTTCTAAACCTTTCCAGTGGACAGAGGAAGGATGTATATGTGTATATTTTTAAAGATAAAATATGTGAATTGTGAATTTATATTGGTAACTTCCAATTAAAATTCAGGACTAGTCGAATTTTCTAAACATCTTCTATATTATAAATAACTCTTTCCTTCAAAACTGAGTATTTGACTATTCTGGTTCTCAAGGACACAAGGGATTATAGAATTAGAATATCCCACAGTTACTACCTTTTTCCATGTTACCCATAGAGATATCTCAGAATAACAGTATTACCACTACCACCACCAATGTGATTACTTAAAATAGTAAATTTTGCTTTTTGCATTGCTTTCCTCATTTTTCTTCCATTAAAAAAAATTAATACTATGTATTATCAGAGTGTAGAGCTGCTATGTACTATGCCTTTCTTTTACATCTACAATTTCTCTAAGAAGCTGTGTTATGTAATGCTCATCACCAGTCCCATGCTGATAAATCTCTAGTCATTTTGATTGTTAAAGTTCATTCTTTAGATTCCTCAGGAAGGGTTCATGGAACAGTATTCTCTAAGTTCATACTTATTATAACTTATATACTTATAAAACTTACAGATATTTAATTGTGCTTAGTATTTGAGCTCTTTATAATTGATAGTCAATTTTGCTAGATAGAAAAATCCTTGATTCCTATTTTTTTGCTTGTATATCTTAAATATATTACCCCATTTTCTTTTGGCATAAAGTCTTACTGTCAGAAAGGTCTGATGATCATCTAATTTTGTTTTTTTTTTTTTGGTAAGTCCAGGAAAGTTTGTTTGAATTACAGTCTGATGTTTGTTCTGTTGTCTTTGATTTTCTTCTTCAGTATCTCCTGTTGTCGTCTTAGTACCATAGTCCTCTTCCCATAGTTTAATTGCTTTCTGTCTTGTTTCTCAGCTACCCAGAGCTGAAGCCTGTGCAGTCCATCAATGCCCATCCTTCCAACTGCATTTGTATCAAGTTTGACCCCATGGGGAAGTACTTTGCCACAGGAAGTGCAGATGCTTTGGTCAGCCTCTGGGATGTGGATGAGTTGGTTTGTGTTCGGTGCTTTTCCAGGTAAGCAGCTCTGCCAGCACTTTCCTTGTTGGATAAATTAATTTAATTTTATTTTGGGTAAAATTGTGCCCTACTCTTACTGGGTTATTCTAACGTGTCCTCTGTCCACTCTGTTCCAGGCTGGATTGGCCTGTGAGGACCCTCAGTTTTAGCCACGATGGAAAAATGCTGGCATCAGCCTCGGAAGATCATTTTATTGACATTGCTGAAGTAGAGACAGGTAACTGAAACCCTCACTACCGTAATGAGTCTTCTGTCTGTCACCTGTGGCCATCAGGACTTTTCCTGTCAGTGTTTTCATCGTCACATTACTACTTCACCTTCATTAGCATAAATGAATTTTCTTCTTAAGACAGCTTTGTTTATTATGATCATTATAGTCAGGTCATGAGGAAGCAAAGAGTTCAGAAAGGGGCAGGTCTGAAAGAGAGTGATTTAGGAAAATATTTTGCATTTTATTAACTTTTAATTCTTCTATCATGATGAAACTTTTAAAATGTGGAAAATAGGAGAAAGAAAAAAGTGTTACCTGTGGTCCCACCTCTAAATACAATCTCTTAGTGTTGTGATATACTTTTTTTTCTATATTTTCCCTGTATGTGAACTTAAAAAATGCATATTTTTTTATAATCTTAGGAATTATCAAAATACATGTGATTTGCTTTAAAAACAACCAATAGAATTTGAAAATAGAAAAATAGGAGGAGAGTATTCATTTTACAAAGAATTTCCTCAGCTTTACTTATTTATTTTTAATGAATAATTTTTTTATTATCAAAGTATAGTTGACATATAATGTATATTAGTTTCATGTATGACATAGTGATTTGACAGATATGCATTAGTCATTGATCATAATAAATGTAGTCACCATTTGTCACCATACAACATTATTACAATATTATTGACTATATTCCCATTGCTGTACTTTATATCTTCCTGATGTATTTTATAATTGGAAGTTTGTACCTCTTAATCACTTCACCTGTTTCACCCATCACCCCAACCTTCTTCCCTCTGGCACCCAACAGTTTTCTTTATTTATGAATCTGTTTCTGTTGTTTATTTATTTACTTGTTTCGTTTTTTAGATTTCATGTATAAGTGAAGTCATATGGTATTTGTCTTTTCTTGATTTATTTCAGTTAGCTTAATACCCCTTAGGTCCACCAGTGTTCTCACAAATGGCAAGATCTCATTCTTTTTTTATGTCTGATTAATATTCCATTGTGTGTGTGTGTATATATGTGTATATATATATATATTATCTTTATCCATTCATCTATTCATGGACTCTTAGGTTGCTTCCATATCTTGGCTATTGTAAATAATGGTGCAGTAAACATAGGGTGCGTGTATCTTTTTGAATTAGTGTTTTTGTTTTCTTTGGGTAATTACCCAGTAGTGGAATTACTGGATCATATAGTATTTCTATTTCTAATTTCTTTAGAAAGCTCCATACTGTTTTCTACAGTGGCTACACCAATTTACATTCCTACCAACAGTGTATGAGGATTCCTTCTTCTTTACATCCTCCCCGATATTTGTTTTTTGTTCTTTTTGATACTAGCTATTCTGATGGGTGTGAGGTTATATCTCATTGTATGTGCATTTCCCTGATGATCAGTGATGTGAACACCTTTTCATGTTTGTTGGTCATCTATACGTCTTTTTTGGAAAAATGTCTATTCAGGTTTTCTGTCCCCCCCCTTTTTTTTAAAGATTCATTCACCCATTTGAGAGAGCGAGCACGAGCAAGTGTGGGGGAAGGGGCAGAGGCAAAGAATCTCAAGCAGACTCCCTGTTGAGTGTGGAGCCTGCCGTGGGGCTCAGTCTCGGGACCCTGAGATCATGACCTGAGCTGAAATCTAAGAGTTGGACGCTCAATTGACTAAGCCACCCAGGCACCCCATTCTTTATGTTTTATTTATTTTTTTATAAAATCCTTATCTCATTTTTTTAAAATATTTTATTTATTTATTTCACAGAGAGATAGTGAGAGCAGGAACACAAGCAGGGGGAGTGGGAGAGGGAGAAGCAGGCTTCCCACTGAGCAGGGAGCCCGATGTGGGGCTCGATCCCAGGACTCTGGGATCATGACCTGAGCCAAAGGCAGACGCTTAACGAATGAGCCACCCAGGCGCTCCAGGCACCCCATTCTTTAATCAGCTTACTTTTTTTTTTCTTGGTGTTGAGCGTATAAGTGTCTTACATATTTTGGATATTAACCCCTTATTGGATTTATTATTTGGAAGTATCTTCTCCCATTCAGTAGGTTGCCTTTTTGTTTTGTTGATGGTTTCCTTTGCTGTGCAAAAGCTTTTTATTTTGGTGTAGTCCCAGTAGTTTATTTTTGCTTTTGTTTCTCTTTGCTTGAGGAGACATATCCCTAAATATGTTGCTAAGGCTGATGTCCAAGAGATTGCTGCCTTGCCTATGTTTTCTTTTAGGAGTTTTATGGTTTCATATCTCACACTTAGGTCTTTAATCCATTTTGAGTTTATTTTTGTGTCTGGTGTAAGAAAGTCGTCCAATTTCATTTTTTTCGCGTGTAGCTGTCTTGTTTTCCCAGCACCATTTGTTTTTTTTGTGTTTTTTCTTTTTTTTAAAGATTTTATTTATTTGAGAGAGAATGAGAGAGAGAGAGAGCACAAGAGGGGGGAGGGTCAGAGGAGCTAAGCAGGGAGCCCGATGTGGGACCCAATCCTGGGACTCCAGGATCATGACCTGAGCCGAAGGCAGTCGCTTAACCAACTGAGCCACCCAGGCACCCCTCGCAGCACCATTTGTTGAAGAGACTGTCTTTTTTCCATTGCATATTCTTGCCTCCTTTGTTGTAGATTAATTGATCATATAAGTGTGGGTTTATTTTTGGGCTCTCTATCCTGTTCCATTGATCTATCATGTGTCTATTTTTGTGCCAGTGCCATACTGTTTTGATTACTATAGCTTTGTAGTATATCTTGAAATCTGGGATTGTGATACCTTCAGCTTTGTTCTTCTTTCTTAAGATTGCTTTGGCTAGTCAGAGTCTTTTGTGGTTTCATCCAAATTTTAGGATATTTGTTTAGTTCTGTGAAAAATGTTGTTGGTATTTTGATAGGGATTGCATTGAATCTGAGGATTGCTTTGGGTGGTGTGGACATTTTAACAATATTAATTCTTCCAGTCCCTGAGCATGGTATATTTTTCTATTTGTGTCATCTTCAATTTCTTTCTTCAATGTCTGATGGTTTTTAGAGTACAGGTCTTTTCCCTCCGTGGTTAAATGTATTCCCAGGTATTTTATTCTTTTAGGTGCAGTTGTAAATGGGATCGTTTTCTTAATTTTTTCTTTCTGTTACATCATTACTAGTGTATAGAAATGCAACAGATTTCTGTATAATAATTTTGTTTCCTGCAACTTTACTGAATTCATTTATTCTAATAGTTTTTTTGGAGTCTTTATGATTTTCTATATATAGTATCATGTCATCTGCAAATACTGACAGTTTTACTTCTTTCTTACCAGTTTGGGTGCTTTTTTTTTTTTTTTTTCTTTTTCTTGTCTGATTGCTGTGGCCAGGACTTCCAGGACTGTGTTGAATAAAGATGGTGAGAGTGGACATCCTTGTCTTGTTCCTAATCTTAGGGGAAAAGCTTTTAGTTTTTCAGCATTGAGTATGATGTTATCTATGGGTTTTTCATATATGGTCTTTATTATGTTGAAGTTTGTTTCCTCTAAATCCATTTTGTTGAATTTTTATCAAGAATGGATGTTTATTTTGTCAAATGCTTTTTGTGTGTCTATTGATGATCATATGATTTTTATCCTTCCTCTTACTGATGTGATGTATCACATTGATTTATTTGCAAATATTGAACCATCCTTGCATCCTTGGAATAAATCCCACTTGACCATGGTGTATGATATTTTTAATGTATTGTTGAATTTGGTTTGCTAATATAGTTTGTTGAGGATTCTTGCATCTATGTTCTTCAGGGATATTGGCCTGCAGTTTTTTTTTTTTTTGGTAGTGTCTTTGCCTGGTTTTTGGTATCAGAGTAAGGCTGGCCTCATAGAATGAATTTGGAAGTTTTTCTTCCTTGCCTATTTTCTGGACTAGTTTGAGAAGAATAGGTATCAACTCTTCTTTAAATGTTTGATAGAATGCACCTGTGAATCCATCTGGTCCTGGACTTTTGTTTATTGGGAGTTTTTTGATTACCAGTTCAATTTCATTACTAGTAATTGGTCTGTTCAAATTTTCTCTTTCTTCTTGATTCAGTTTTGGCGAATTTATCCATTTTTTTAGGTTGTCCAATTTGTTGGCATATAATTTTTCATAGTATTCTCATATAACCCTTTGTATTTTTGTGGTGTCAGTTATTTCTTCTTTTTCATTTCTGAATTCATTTATTTGAGTTCTCTCTCTTCTCGATGAGTCTGGTAAAGGTTTATCAAATTTGTTTATGTTTTCGAAGAACCAGCTCTTGGTTTCATGGATCTTTTCTGATGTTTTTTTAGTATCTGTTTCATTTATTTCTGCTCTTATCTTTTTTATTTCCTTCCTTCTACTAACTTTGGGCTTTGTTCTTTTTGTAGCTCCTTTAGATATAAGGTTGATTTGTTTATTTGGGATTTTTCTTGTTTCTTGAGGTAGGCCTGTATTGCTATAAAGTTTCCTGTTAGAACTGCTTTTGCTGCATCCCAAAGATTTTGGATTGTTGTGTTTCCATTTTCATTTGTCTCCATGTATTTTTTAATTTCCTCTTTGATTTATTCATTGACGCATTGATTGTTTAGTGGCATGTTGTTTAGCTTCTGTTTGTGTTTTTTCCAGTTTTTTTCTTTTTCTTGTAATTGATTTCTAGTTTCATATCATTGTGGGTCAGAAAAGATGCTTGATAAAATTTCAGTCTTCTTAAATTCATTGTAACTTGTTTTGTGGCCTACAATATATGATCCATCCTGGAGAATATTCCATGTGCACTTGAAAATAACGTGTATTTTGTTTTTGGATGAAATGTTCTGTATATCTCTGTAAAGTCCATCTGGTCTAATGTGTCATTCAAAGCTACTGTTTTTTTGTTGATTTCTGTCTGGATCTATCCATTGATGTAAGTGTGGTGTTAAAGTCCCCTGCTATTGTTGTATTACTGTCAATTTCTCCTTTTATGTTTGTTAATATTTACTTTATGTATTTAGGTGCTCCTATCTCCTATGTTAGGTACACAGATA